ATATATATATATATTGCGACGTTTTCTCCTTCTTTATTCTATTTTTAATTGGTTAAAGCGCCGTCAAACATCGGATAAATATAAGATTTCCGCGCTCGGAGGAACAGGGATGAAGAGTGCTCGCGCGGGCCGCGGCGGAGCGGAGGCAGTTCGATATCTCGATAGGTTGGGCGCCAGATGCGGTCTTTCACGCATCAGTTTTCCACGAAATTTTTAAACAGCGCAAAAGATAGCCTGCTTCGCCACGGGCTGACTAGCTCGCCTAACGGTAGAGGGGAGGGGTTCTTAGAGCGAGCCAATTAATTATGCGGAGATTTCACTAATTCGATGTGCGACACACAAAAACGGATATCGACGACCACAGAGGACTAACATTCAAGTAAATTACGCGAATTTAACAAGGCAATGTAACAGATTTATTAATAGAAAAATAATAGACGAGAGAAAAATATAAAAACCAACTAGAATGACAAGTCAGATTGAAAACGAGATTCACAATAACTTCGATTAAAGATAAGCGAACGAAATATATAATCCAATCAAAAATGACGCGAATAATAAGACGCTGTTCACAGCAAATGTTCGCTTGAGGTAACCAATCGAAAAGAAAGCGCTAAGACTTTATAATGACGACAAACAGAGTCAAATACGCAAGACTTTATAGTGACGGAGGACAGAATCAAATACGTGAGATTTTACAATTACAGTAAACAGACTCGAATGCGCGAAACTTTATCATTACGGAGAACAGCGAGAAGTGTACCGAACATTACAGTTACGGAGAACCGAAAGAAGTGCGCGCTCTTGCAATTACGGAGAACGGAAAGAAGCGCGCGAGCGCTTACGATTTCGGAGAACCGAACGAGGCACGCTATTGCGAGTATGAAGAACAGAACGAAATACAAGATTTTATAATTCTCGAAAACGGAAATGCGCACGTAATATTTTATATTCAATTACGGAGAACAGATATAACGATAGGACGATATAATGTGCTGAAAGAACGACAGTATAATCTAGTCGATCGGAACGCGGAATTCACGTATCGCAAAGATAAGGCGCTCCCACCGGTGCACACACGGCACGGCGGGTGTCGACAACTTGCGCCTCCGATAGCCGATTGCTCGCACGTCCGTGGACGGCGGATCGCGAGCTGCCCAAAAGGAACGTACGTAGAGAGAGATGGTCGAGAATCGAGGCCCGCTTTGGTCGCGCAACTTCCGGCCCGCTGCAACAATTTTTCAGGTACTCACCCTTTCCATTTGAGAGGGGTCGTCTCGTTATGAACCGCCTCTGTGAACGATCTCTCAAAAATTTGCCGTTCAAGCGGTCGCGGAACTTTCCCCCTTGGGTGGCGGTCGACAACACTTCCGATCGGTCGGAGTCGCTCAACTCTGACCGGCGATAGCCTCGATTTAAAGATTCTACACCAACGCGCGTCACACGGATAATGGAGAGGCGAACGAGTATATCGGGTGAGACCGATCGACGATTCACTGTCGCCCCTTGACTACGGTCGTACTCAACTTCTTTTCACTACCGCAAATTTTATACAAACGAAACACTAATCGCGACCGGCCAGAGGGGTCGACCCGCGAGCCGTATCGGTGGACGGCGTACCAATTTTCGTAATTATACACGAAGATAGCCGGGTGACCTCACCATTGAACTCTCCACTCGTGGTTTCCGCCAATTCGTCTCCTTCCGTGCCGAGCGTCCGCGATACTCTCTATCAGATTTCGCCGAAAATCTCGAAAGTCTCTCATTTTCTCGGAATCGCCGTATTTATCCCTAGCTATTCGCCCCGCATCCCATCGAGAGGGGTGCTAGGCCCGTTCTCGCGCGCTCGGATTTTCGAGCGTGACGCAAGGGCGCATCGTGCGTCCGCGGTCCCGCGCCTCCGACGGTCCGCTGCTCCTGTGCGTTTTTCAGCGCCAGGTGGTCGGGAATTCTCCCGTTAGGGCCGATTTTTGCTGCCTCTATCCCTCTCCAGTGGAGGGTAGCGAATTTCCTGGATCTTTCCGATGAGGTTCAGACGCTTCGCGGGGTGCTTTCGGCGCCCGTCATGGCCCTGGGATGCTGAGCTGATGGACCGAAATTGTGCGAGGCTGATCGAGTATCGCCGACCCCTGTTTTCCACGGCCGATGTTTTGATCGGTGATGATTCGGCAAGGTTGCTTTTCTTGTAGACTTCCAGGTTGTTCTTCGTTGAAGATTTATGGCCTCCGAAACAATATAATTTCGACAAATAGGATTAATAACAATACTTTCGATTACAAACGAACGCGCTCGCCTCTCTGAAAATCCCGGCGGGGCTCTCGATTTCTCGACCGGCGCGGCCGCTCGGCTCGCGTCACGCGGTCTTTTTGGTAGGTGAACGTCCGTCGTGACGGCAATGTCACAGTATATATATATATATATATGTATATATATATATATATATTCAAATTCGTCATTTCTCATTTATTTGATATACGTAAGAACCTTGCTATACAGCACTGGTGCTACCGCCATTTTGTGCACATAGCACGGAACAGAACCAGAAATTGTGCACATTATATGTTACTCTCTGAGGACTTTCGTGGACATTGGCTTTGTAGTTCATGTCCACGTTTTTTAGATTAACAGAGGGCATATCGTTTTTAGGGATCTCCATAAACCATTGAATAAAGAACATCAGAAGGAGCATATGACCGAAAATTTTTTGTTTGCCGTGCGACGGATGTGACATAATGAAAGTGAACCATATATCGATAGAATCGAATTTATGACGTCATTCTAGTATATACTGTGACATTACCATTGAATTCAATAGATGTCACATGTGTAAGAACTGTGTAAGAACTGTGAAAATTGAATAGAGTGAGAATTAAAGAAAAAAAGTAAAAAATGGTCAGTTGTTGCTTATGTGGATTTTCTAAAACAAAAGGACGTATAGAAACATTTCATACGTAAGTGGTATAATATATTCTATTTAAAATAATAGAGTCAAAATAAAAGTATTACAACTTGTAGTTAATTTTATTGTATTTTATATCTAACAATAGTCATGTTTAGTAAAGTATTTATTCACATTACTTTCATATTTTTTGTTTGATGCATTTTTAGTGTGTTTGAAATATACCGCCAGATATGTGATGACGTCATTTATGACGTTCATGACGTCATAAAACTAACCCAATGTTCCCGCGATATATCGCTACATGCTCCTTCCTGGTATTCTTTATTCAATGCCATAGACTTACTAGAATAGACTGCTCATGAGCCCTCATTATGGTAGTGGGGGTATCCGTCACTGAGAAAAGGATAACTGTCGTTAATATGAGTTTCTATCTCTTCCTAATGCAGAATAGTGGGGAAGCATAACGACCAATAACGGTATCAAAGCGTGAGTGTCATAGTATGCGTATTGTCGATGTGAGCTAAGTCACGCTCTGGAAAGAGATAGAAACTCATATTAACGACAGTTATCCTTTTCTCAGTGACGGATACCCCCACTACCTTCATGAGCAGTCTATTCTAGTAAGTTTATGGGGATCACCTAAAAGCGAGCCATGATATCTCTCAGTCTTCTCTCTGACTCCAGAAACACATCATTGATTCGGATCTAGGGAAATTTAGGAAGTCTATCGCTGAGTATCACTGCTCAGTCCGATCAGAGTCCGATTAGTTGTCGTAAACACCCATTTAGTGCGTCCGAAAATATGTTTGGTTGGTGTTGGGAAAAAGATAAAGTTGGCAGTATTGAAAACTTCCAGTACTGCGTTTCGTTTCTCCTACTGGGATCACTAGAATTAAAAAAATTTGCTACTTGAGATATTAAAAGAGATAAATAAGTAGTTAAACATATTTTATAATAATATGTTTAATAACATCACATATATTATTATTAATACGAACGTGTGTTTTATATTAATAATGTTATAATTACAATAAAGTGACATAATTTACCTAAAATGTGATTTAAATTCAATATTTGTATATCTGGTAACAACATTTTCCAAATAATCTATTATTTTTGGTACTATTTTCCTTTCACCTCTATTGTTATTATCTCTATTTTCGAATAAAATATTTTGTAATTCTTCATTATTATCATCACTATCTGAAGAAGAATTACTCGGAAGATTCAAAAATGATGTTTTCGAGTAAAATATATTGTTTTATAATAATAATTAGTGTAATTGCAACACTTTCGTATATTGTACAAGGGCTGTGTTCCAAAATTTACTGCCAGCGCTGCAAACTGCGCTTCCAAAATTCATGGCAGCACGCTACGGCAGTGCTGTGAGAGAACAATGACGTCATTGATTTTGTCGTCACTTCCTGCTGCAGCTACTGCGGCTGGAAAGATGAGGCAGTTACAATATTTAAGATGGCGGAAAACATGGACGATGTCATAGAGAAGTTCACTCTTATTGACGCAGAAAGTAACGAAGAGTATAAAATTTTAATATCGTCTACAGATGCTGCAAGAGCAAGAAATGGTAAATTTACAACTTTTGTAATATATACATTCATTTTACAAATATTTCGGAATAGAAATTAATACATAACCTATTTGCTTATAGTTTAAGTTAATTTATCTATTATTCTTGAATGCCCAAATAATGACATTATCATTATTTATTGTAATATACATATATTATTATTTACTATAATATTCATATTATACTTTTTTATTTCGAATTTGTTCAGATAATGAATTTGCTTATTCATTATATTGCATCAAGCAATAAAATACACAAATAAAGGTACGTATATGGAATTGCAAAATGTCATACAAATGTCATACAGATAATCAACAGATATCAAACAAACAAATTATTTTGATGTTTAATTTATTATTTTATCTATTTGAAATTGTCCATTTGTCATGCTGTATGTTCATAATATTGTATAATATTATGAACATACAGCATGACAAATGGACAATTTCAAATAGTTAAATGCTGTATGTTCATAATATTGTAAAATATTTATGGTATTGTATACCCGTTATCTGATATATTTATTGTACACCCGGTATGTGGGCTTGCGTGCCTGCTGAATCATGTATAGGGTGCGCGCGCACGATTACGTCAATATCGATATTCCGCCAGGATCGATATAAAGGGGTCCTGCGGAATTCGGAGCTCTTCTTTCTTCGCTCTTCCGTTTTGCTCCTTCGCGATCATTATTATGCAGTAAACCATTTATACGAATCAGTATTACGCGGTTACCGTCTTCTAATTTGTATCAGTTAATTGAGTGACATTAATTAAATTGTGTGTGCTCTGTGCATTATTGTTGTATATTTCATCCTGACAAATATCCTGACAAAATTCCTGCATCGTGTATCACCACGGACGGCTTGATTAAGATAATCTTATCTGACTCTATATTACACGGTATAATTACATCTTATTTTATACGGAGTATCATCTCTATCAGCATCATCAGCTATCTTACAATATTGTATAATATTATGAACATACAGCATAAGAAATAGACAATTTCAAATTGTCAAATTAATAAATTATATATTTTATAGAAGATACATTTACAAATAGAGATGCAATATAAAATATGATGAAGTGAGACATGATGAAACAGAGATGCAACGCAAACCTGATGATACTGCAGACTGTAATATTGAAATCAATACAAAAGATACAAATTAAAAAAATAATTTTCAAACAAAAGGACATGTATTATATTTATTATATGTATTATATTTTATTTGTTTAGATTCTATATCTGTTCTATATCTGTTTAACATTTTATATTCTTTTTTTTATCTGTTTAGAGCAACATATACGAGCTGAAACGTTGTTATTAATTAATTTATATAAGGAGCATATGGAAATGTTCAATAATCCAAAAATTACAGCCAGGCAATGTTGGAACAATATTTCAAAAAAAAATAGGAGAAGCAGGACATCAAATATTACCAATAAAATGTTCCACCAAATTTCAGTGTTTGAAAAGAACGTATAAATCTGTTACTGATCACAATAAAAAGTCAGGAAACAATAGGAAAAAATGGGAATATTATGAGGTATATTATTAATTAGAAGTATTATACAATTTATATCAAATATAATTATTTAATTAAGATTGAAATGCAAATTGCTATTTTGCAAAGACAATTTATTAATCAGAAAGCAATATTTCTTTTGCTTGAAATTTTCATAATTATTTATTAAGTATACATATAGAAAAAAATTTTTTATACAGATTATGCATGAGATATTTGGAACCAAACCTTGGATTGCTCCAATAGCGACAGCTGGGAGTACATTAATATTATAAGTGAAGATACAGAAAACGAAGGTCCAATAAAACCAGGTACTTTTTTTATAAAACATATCTGCATTTATTTACATTTTTTTAATTACATTTTCCAATTATGTAGGCATTATTACTTTTTTCTAATTATTAATTTTTTAAAATTATAATATCTTTTTTATTTGCAGTACCAAAGAAACGAAAAATTAACAACATACTAGAAGATTATTGTGAAAAATCTTTAAAATTTAAAAAGGAAAAAGAAGACAATCTTGAAAAAAGACATAAAGAAAGAATGACGCGTTTAAGTAACATAGAAAATTTAATTACAGAAATGCTAAAAAAATAACATGACTATTATTAATAAGACTATTATTTATTACTACTATTATTTATATACCAAATACATATAGTACACATTTACATAAGTTATTGTTAAAAATTTTATTAGTTATATAGTTACTGTTACATAAATACAAGTTTATTTTATTTTATATAATGTATAAAAACTATTGTGTGATTATAAGTTGTGATAATTTTCTTTAATAAAACTAAAATAAAAACAAAATTATACGTACAATTTATTGGAAACGAATGTATAGTGTGTAGTAATCTTACGTTATCTTATTTTTTATTTTTATATTATATTATAATATTATAAGCAATGCAAATAATAATCGTCAGTGCTATAGAAATGAGAAATAATATTCTATAGTTTTATAAAAATTAATAAAATTTTTTATTAAAAATTTTCATTGTGCAAATAATATATTTATAATTGCATTACATTTTTCAATACCTTCTTCTCTTAAAGCTTCAGGTGTATTTTCAACATGTTGATTTTATAGGTATAGGTTGATTTTGTTGCACAATAATTGAGATATCAAAATAATCATTACGGATTAGACATATGTTATGTAAAATGCAACAAGCATAAATATATTTTGGTATTAAATCAGTTCTTCTCATAGGTAATATATCTAAAAGACTTCGAAATCTTCCTTTTAACAAGCCTATTGTTCTCTCAACCATCATCCTCGCTTGAGATAAACAGGTATTATACTGAACTTGTGCGTTTGTCAAATGTCCATTATTTTTAAATGGAACCATTATATATTTTTGGATACTATATGCGGTATCATCTAATAAATGGCTATTTTCGGGAAAATTTTGTGCAGTACATATATTTTCAAAATCAGATAATCTAAATACTCTCATATCGTGTACAGATCTAACCTGTCCTGCATAAACATGAGTGATTTTTAATTCATGATCGCATATTATCTGGAAAGAAATATAATTATTCTTGTTGTATAGAATCTTAAAAATTCTTTACAAAAATACCTTTAATATCTTCATAGAAATACCTGTAACTGTATGGAATGGTAACCCTTTCTATTTATATAAGCATCAGGATGCAATTTTTATGTGAGTTCCGTCTATTGCTCCTATTACTTTTGGAAATTTATATTTGTTTTTAATATGTGTCCAAATTTCTTCACTTCTTCTACTATCTGGTCATGTAATGAATGTGTTAAGATGTGAATATAATGCATTCACAACTTTCTGAACACATCTCCAAGCTGTTGCTTTTCCTACATCAAATCGATCAGCAATACATCTAAAATTAATAATAGAATAGAATTAATAAGTAAATAATGAATATTATGTATTTATTACATCTTGTTATATACTTTATTAAATATATATTTGATAAAATATATAAAACAGGATGTAATAAATATATATATATTTTTTTTGTAACAAATATATATTTTTTTGGTACTACCTTTTCATCCGAACTTAAACTTACCTATATGAATTAGGAGTTGCCATCATCCATATTGCTAACAATAATATTTTTTCTGGATTGATAGTATGTCTACCTCGTCCTTCAGATTATTTTATTAATTGTGGACTTAATATCTCCAACAAAAATATAAACGTTGATCGACTAAGACTGAAAAACACATTAAAATAAATTAAAACAACATGGAACTTTTATATAAGATTATAAATTATAAATTATATTTCTTCACAAAAATATTGATTAAATATTGATTAAATAATCAATAATATATCAAATAAATTATTACCGAAAATGACTTTTAAAATCACTATCTGTACACTGCCAAACTACGTTTTCGATATAATTATTGCAACGTATTTTTTACACGTTCGAAATAATTTTTTATTAAATTTATAACTACTTACGAATCAGATTCATCGCTTGAGTCTTCATCTGATTCTTCAAGTATTAAATTTAAATACGTAAATTAAAAATTTTTGTCGTCTGTCCATTTAAGTTAAATTGATTACTCAATTGCTAGTACTGCCAGCACTGAAATAGCATTCTATTTTGAAAATCATATTCGTGCTTACAGCACGCTTTCATAAAATGGAACGCTGTTGGTAACATCAGAGAGAAACCTGAGAGCGGCCACCTCGCTTTAACGAGCACATTGTCCTAATGTGCCGCCTGACAAAGTGGACGTCAAACTATTACAGTCGATAATAATACATGGTTCGTATCCGAGCTATGGTTCGTGTCTGAGCTATGGTTCATGTCCGAGCTATGGTTCATATCCGAACTATTCACATGAGATGGACATGAGAGTTAGACAAGAGCCGATAATCTATCGTTCTATTTCTTTTGTCTCACCAACGATGGCAGACTACGGCCGGTATTCATAGTCCGATCTTATATTTAAGATCGTCTTAAGTCTGCTTGGAGGTTGACTTAAGACCTCATTCAACCAATCAAATAGCTGCGTAGCATTTCAAGCTCGAACTTAAGACGATCTCAAATATAAGATCGAACTATGAATACCGGCCTACGTGGCGGTAGGCATGAGGCGAATGGTGATTTTCTATCGTAAAGCTCATGTCTCCTTCCATCCCTCGTCGGTCCTATAGGTGCGGCCTCATTGACGCTAAAAAGTAGCGTCAACCATTGGTTGAACAAAGAGGTAAGTATAGTTGCTTCATTGTTCAACCAATGGTTGACGCTACTTTTTAGCGTCAATGAGGCCGCATCTTATCTCATCTTTCACGCGCTACATTTTACATAATTCGGATAGGATTTCGAGACGACTTCGAGCGCCCAATACATAGAGACAAATTTATTTATTTATTATGAAGATATCATATTAAAAATGTTTTTTAATAAAACCTTTTCTTTTTATTTAAAATAATTATATCTGTATTTCATGCTTACCACTCTCATATTATTATAGTAATATTTTATTTTATATATTTTTTAAATAATTAATTAATTTAAAAAATATACATATCAATGCGAATGATATCTTACTTGCATTTGCGTGTTAGTGTTAGACATGAAAAACATAATGTAATACAACATCTAGTGTATCGAATGCTATGAATAATTTTCTTGTAAAAAAATAAAGTTTTAATAAAATTGCTCACACATATACGGCACAATACAGCATCCAATGTTCTAGATATTGTATTACATTATGTTTTTCATATTTTTATGATAAATATCATCTTGACTCATGTCTTGATGAGATTGATAATTCGAATAATTAATTTTATGTAACCATTTTTTATGTAATCATATTTAATTTTGAAAATAATAACAAAAAGATAGATAAACTAGTTTGTGAAACTATAATTATTCTTTGTATGATATACAAAATAACTTTACATTAACAATAAACAGATTCTTTAATCTTTTATTAATATATAAAAGAATTACGTTTCACTGTCGTGATTTCGCGGCTATTTGATGCTATGAAACAAGTAATGCGCGACAACACGCTGGACATAATCAATCAGCGAGTTTTACAAGTGACGTTCGATTCTGCGGTGCTTCATTATCTGTGCATAACAGATCTCTTCTATTGTTTTAAATTTATATTTTTTTTAACGATCTGTAAGATTTATGTATTTTGCAACACGTGTTATCGTTTCTTTTATAGAACACGACACATTATCTGTAAATATTTCTGCGTGTACACGTATGTGCGTGTATGCTTTTATTGTATTGGTTGTGTAATTTTTGTATTTTTTTATCACGTGTTGTATTTCTCTTTTATTTCTACTTTTAAGTTTTTTTAATTTTATTTTTATATTTTTTTGTTTTGCATTATAATAAACAATCACTATGTCAAGTCAGTGCCTTGTAGATAGTTATTATGATAAGTGTGTGTACAAAAAATGTAAGAATGGAAGATTTTCGCATTGGAAACGGCTATTCCGATTTCCAATGCAGAAGGATGCAAGATGCAATACATGGATACGTAATACAGGTATGTTTTTGTGCAATAATTGTCATTATTTTATTAATTTTTTGCCTTTTCTGCTCCTAAATTCAATACATATTATTTATTATTTTATTATTTCATAAAATAAAAATAAAAAAAAACGACAGTAGGGAGATTCGAACTCGGGTCAGTGCCGTGACAAATAGTCATCTTACTTGCACTGCTACGCGCTATTATAAAGTAGCGCTTTATCGAATTGATTATAACCAACACGCCTGACATAAAAAAAATTTTTTTTACCAAACATTCGGTATACCAATTGCTATGTCAGCTTGAAGTAAGCATGTAATCGTAATTTTCATAATGTGTTGTATTTTTGTTACAGAACATACAAAGTTGGAAAACTTGTCTGCCAATACCCTTAGAAAATTAGGATTATGTGAAGATTATTTCGTTATTACATCATAACGAAGAACGTAAAAGCGCGACGAGAGAAAGGGGAAAACAAAGGGAATTACCCGATTAGACACAGTACGATTAGACACAGCCAATTATATCGATCGATGCCTAGGGTAACCAGCACGATCAAGCACGATTAGCCAATCAAAGCCAGTTGTGTCCAATTGTACTGTGTCTAATTGGAGGTGTCTCAAAGCAAAATCGTAAGCTTGTCGCGTGGCAGTCGCGTGGTCTGTCATTGATGAGACAAAGACAGAACAATGAATTATCGGTTCTTATCTGACTGTCCATCTCTGAATAGTTCAGACATGAACCTATATCATAGACACAAATTATGTTTCGTTACCGAGCGTAATGGACATAGTTCACGTCCACTTTGTCAGACGGCGCGTCAAGCATCGAGAAATGTGCCCGTCGAGACTGGTGGCCGATTTCAGGTTTCTCTCTGGTAGCATGCTTTATGACGTAACATTACAGCGCTGACAGTGAATTTTATATATATATATATATATATATATATATATATATATATAATGTTCACAATTTATATAGTAAAAATCGTTACCAGTTACTGTTGAGTAAAATATAAAATTTGTAAGGTTAGAAAATTTTAATCTGTGAAACCTAATAATAGTAATTTTAATAATTTTATTTGAAACATATGTATGTATAATATTATGTATAACATTATATATAATGTGACGCGCCATATTTTTGCACTGCTTTACACTAGTTTACACTGTATCGTTTTCTACTCCCGTCTGCACTCTCAGTTCTCGCTTGCACTGGCTCAATTCTAGTGCAGAACTAGTTCAGTTCAGTGTAGGAATAAAAAACAAACCTCTAGTGATCCCAGTAGGAGAAACGAAACGCAGCACTGGGAGTTTTCAATACTGCCAACTTTATCTTTTTTCCCAACACCGATCAAACATATTTTCGAATGCACTAATAGTTTCATCACTCTGGCAGTGATGGTAGGCCGGGTGATTTTTTTTTTACGCACGCGCAGTAGTAATTACAGGAAAGCAACGGTGTATCAGATAGCGGATTATGGGCGCCAAAGTTTTGGCGGGCAAGCTGAGGTCGGCTAGAAAGAAGTCCCGAGTCCCGAGTGAATGTTATAATGTTTTAAAGTACAGCGGGAAAAGTGATTAGTGAAATAGAAGTGTGCTGTTGGTCGCTCGTAAAAATTTTCTAAAAATTTTCCCTCAGAAATTTATTTAAGGGCGAAGTGACACACTTTTTACTTCTACTAGATACTTCGTTAACGCCGCGTTCGCGGCGCATGCGCGAGAAAATCACCCGGCCTACCATCACTGCACTCTGGCAGTATGAGCGACACCTAAAGTCAGCTCCTTGCCAAATAAAAAAAGAAGAAGAAGAATTTGGCGAAGTGGCTTGAGAATTGAACTATATGTGTATATATATATATACATATATATACATATATATACTTATGTACATATATATTTTATAACAATAATATGTATAAAAAATTAATATTCTCTGATATATTTAAACAGTAAAATAAATAAAAAATGTTGAAAATATCTCTAATTTGTCAGTTTATATATATATATATATATATATATATACTATGTATACATGTGTGCATATATTAAATTTGACAAATTTTTTAAGTATTAAACAAATGTGATAGATATACGCATAGATGTGTATTTCTAACTCATATCAGAATCTGAATGATATCCAGCCTTTGTTAGTTAATGAATTTGACTTGTCATTAATGTACATCCTTGTACCGGTGAAATACGGTAAAAGAATAACTGTTACAATGCTTTGCCAAAACTATATACATTAATATCGTAAGAAAATCAGAAAAATGGGAGGAATAAGTTGGGGTGAGTTATTTCCGGGGAGATGGAGTTCTGTCATATTTATTTCCTATATAGCTCTCTTTATAAATCAAGGTATGTTGATCATTATGTACTATATGATTTTTATTTTTGTCATTATAAAATAATAAATCGGCAAAAAAATAAAGTATCATTAACATATTTAGAACAATGTTTATGAACAAAATTTATGACAATAATTTGTTATACAGGTATTCTCGTGACATGGTCTCAAAGAAGCGGTCGCTATGAATATAACACTGTAGCAGTTGTATTGATGACTGAAGTTTTAAAATTGATTATATCTACAGCATTATATTGTAAGGAGTAAGTAAAATAATTTGGAAATTTGTACAACTAATTATCCTAATTTTATATTAACTTATTTTAATTTACAGCAATAGTATCTTAACTCTTCTTCAGGAGACAAAGAAGCATAAAAAGGGTGAGATTAAAAAAACAGATAAAGAAATTCCAGAAATTTGTGCTATAAATGTTTGATGTGATTGAGATTCATAAAGGGCTAAAGAAAATTTCTATCCATTTTTAGTGCTTCTACTGTATATGATACCTGCATTTTTATATTGTCTCTACAACAATCTAGCATTTGTCAATTTGGCTAGATTCGATCCTACAACATACTATATCTTGCTGCAACTTCGCGTTGTGCTTACAGGAATCATATTTCAAGTATATTGATGATATATATTTTTTAATTCGATAAGAGAAGGATAGTAAATGTTAAATAAACCTTATATATAAGGATTTTAATTTTTTCTAGGTTATTTTTCGCAAAAAGTTGTCTGCGATACAGTGGTTTTCATTAGTAATTTTGACAGTTGGTTGCATGATAAAGCATTTTGATATTCATGTCTTTGACACAGAATTACATATAGATATTTCCCTATTTCTAATTCTTATACAGGTATATTAAATTTTATTGATAATATTTATATAAAAATTTATTTTATTGATAATATTTATATAAAAACATGGTCATTTTTTTGAAAAATGTTCTCTTTTCAGACAACATGTTCTTGTTTAGCTGGTGTTTACAATGAATATTTACTCAAGCATCAAGGTGCAGACATTGACATTTTTGTACAAAATGTATTTATGTATATTGATAGTATTTTCTGCAATATCGTAGCAATTGTTTTATTAACAACATTTAAGAACAGTGTTAGCGATACAATTAGTAACATTGAAATCAGTACATCTTTGCAGCCAAAAATAATATTAATTATGTTAAATAATGCAATTGTTGGAATAATAACAAGCTTCTTCTTGAAAACTTTAAATTCTATATTAAAAACTTTTGCTAGTGCAATGGAACTGATTTTTACAGCAGTGTTATGCTGGATTTTGTTTAATATAGTTATTAATATAAGCACTATCATTTCTATAGCTATGGTAAGTGTTGCCATCATTTTATATTCAAAAAATCCTGTACAAAACACTTGCTCTATAGAAATGATAGAAAGCAGGAAACTTATAGTATAAACATACAATATCAATATTAGATTTTTTATATAATAAATATGTGTGCCACAAATAAAATTATTAAATCAAATATAATAGTGTATATTATCATTAATATTGAGAATTGTTTTTTTTTATAATGATAATACAAGTTATACATAATTCTAAATAATTATATCGTATAATATAATGTTTAATATGTTAGTTATAATATAATGTTTAATATGTTAGTTTTAATTATAGTGACTGTTTAAAAAGCAAGACATTGGAAGTTAATAAAGAATTAAGCAGATTTAGATTATGACAAGATTCAGTTAGCGATACTAATCTCTTTGCTATGTAGGATTAAAGGAATTATGGATGTATGTGTTAAATTAGGAAATCAATTAAGTATATTTTTACATTTATCTTTCTCTCTTTAAATATATTTTAAAAATAGAGTAAATTAAGATATACATATATATAATATATTATACAATAGTTCACAATTCAATAAAAGAGAATATAATATGGAAATTAAAAGATTATTAAAATATTTATTATACGTATATGGAATTTTTTTATATTACATGGTTTTTCTATTTATGTATTTACACACACATACACATACATGTATTTACACACACATACACCTATAAATAAATGTTACCAAATTTTATACACATACACATATATGTTTTTTAAATTTACAATCTCTTAAAAGTCAATTTTTTAATGTTCTATCTATATAATTTATGTTTTTATACTTTTTATTTCCAAATTATCTATTTGGAAGCTTATATAAAGTTGCTTGGAAAAGTTCTATCATATATACACTCAGCAAACACAGAATATTGCGGCAATATTTTGTGTTGGGTAGGCAGGATTCAGAGCGACAGTATCAAGTTTTTGTGAAAACAACGCATTCTCGAGAAAAATGTTTTATACAAAAATTGTAGGGCTTCAAGTGACACATTATATAATAATATTAGTATGACCTTGAATAGCACTATCAAGATCACATAAATATCACTTTGAATTTTTTAAATGGAACACTCCATTTTTCATTATATATTCTTGTAGCTTACCTCGAGTTTTCCAAAACACTATAATTAAATTATTTTTCATTAAGTACTTTCCGACTTATGAGGCTTGAAATAATTTCTTAATTTTACGTAAACCGAATATCTAGTAAAATATTCATTTTTCGATTACCTTAATACTTTTATGTACAAAATAATGTGAGAAATCAATCGGTGTAAAGAAAAAACAGTTTAAAAAAAATATGTAATTGCAAATAAATATGTAAAATTAATTGCAAATTACATATTTTTTCTTAAAAATACTTATGTGCCCTATAACTTCTGTATGAAACATTTTTTACGAAAATGTGTGTCGTTTTTTTAAAAAACTGCTGATTCGATCGATGTGAAATACCCTGTATATACATGATGCGTACTACACATTAAGATAGTTGCAAATGTATGTATATGTTATACATATATAGTTACTAACAAATTTGTGGTAACACTTGAATATATATTGTTGATAGTTCAAATGTACCACAAATACACACACACACACACACACACACACACACACACACACACACACACACACACACACACATATATACAGGGTGTCCCAAAAGTCCCGGACCGATCGAATATTTCACAAACTATGCACTTTAGAAAGAAATGTTTCAGACAAAAGTTATATGGCTTGAAGGGGGCCATCAGATAGTGGCAATGATTGGACATGGGAGAGTCATTTGAAAGTCACGTGAAGATCACCGTCAATTTCTTAAATGGAACTCCCTATTATTTATTAAATATTCTGGTAGCTCACGTCGAGAGCTTTCCGAAACACTATAATTAAATTAGTTTTCATTAAGTACTTTCCGAATTATGAGGCTTGAAATCATTTCTTAATTTTATATAAACCGTAAAATATCTTGTAAAATATTCATTTTTCGATTATCTTGCCTTAATACTTTTATGTACAAAATAATGAGAGGAATCAATTGGTGTAAAGAAAAAACATAGTTGTTTTTAAGAAAAAAATATGTAATTTGCAATTAACAATTACATTTTTTTTTTTAAACAACTATGTGTTTTTTTTACACCAATTGATTCCTCTCATTATTTTGTACATAAAAGTATTAAGGTAAAATAATCGAAAAATGAATATTTTACTAAATATTTTATGGTTTATGCAAAATTAAGAAATGATTTCAAGCCTCATAACTTGAAAAGTACTCAATGAAGAAATACTTTATAGTAGTGTACCTTATTATAGTGTTTTGGAAAGCTCTCGAGATAAGCTACACGAATATGTAATAAACCTTGCTAATGACCTTTACGTCATCTTCAAATGACTCTCCAAGGTCAAATCATTGCCACTATCTGATGGCCCTCTTCAAGCCATACAACTTTTGTCTGAAACATTTCTTTCTAAAGTGCATAGTTTATGAAATATTCGACCGGTCCGGGACTTTTGGGATACTCCCGAGGTAGCAGAGTGACGTCACATCTTAATAATGTTTTAATGAGGTCATTGTACGTCATTAAGACGTCTGGAGACGTCATCTTGCTACCTGGGTCTATATATACATATATATATATATATATATATATATATATATATATATATATCAAAAGTTATATATTTATCTGAAGACTAGAAAATACACACATATACGCACGCACACACATACACACATAGGGCGTCTCAGACACTATATACATACAAGTGCTTGTGAGGAGGTAGAGTTCAGTAAACTGAACAAGAAAGTTTTATACCATTTTACAATTTTCGCAATAATAGAAATATTAAATATTAAAATCGGATGAAGGAAAGGAGCGCTCCTTTCATATGTAGTATTCTGGGACACCCTGTATATGTATTCCCTAGCTTCTGAAAAATTTTTTATGATTTGTAGATATTTAATTGCTTTTTATATTTCAATAGATTTTTAGTTTACATGAATGTTATAAATGAATGTGAAAGAAGCTAGAGAAAATTTTAAACCATATTTAAATAATAGCTATAAGAGAAAATTCATATTTACTAATAGAATATGTGAGTCATAAATTGGTATTGTCAAAGATTATAATAAAAAATAATGAAATTATAAATTATATACATACATTGCAAAGCAAAATTATGCAAAGTATTCCTGAAGTAGTCAGAATTTGAGATTTTATTTATTTGAAAATTTCAGGAATATTTTGCTACATTTCTATACATTAACACTAATTAAAAAGGTAGGGAGGAGGGGAAATAAAAATTAAAAAATGAAAGAAAGGAAGCAAAAGTTATTTGGTAAATATAAATTTTGTCAAATTCTTTTTTTATGCAGTTGTTTAACTGTTCTCTGAAAAAATGTTAGCAACAAACAAGTGTGGAAGGTACTATTTGCTTGCACTGGACAATCACATAATTTGTAATAGATAGATTTATCGTACAAAAATATAATATGGCAATTTGTAAAATGCAAATTTTATAAAATATAACAGGTAATAAACAGATAACGTGTATTAACATTATGTTAGGACTAGAATTGTCTTAGAATTAGATTAGTATTTTTGCTTTAATATTTATTTACAGTGTGTGTCACAACCAAAGAACAATTAGCAATGTGCATTAGTTAGGCACATATCAAAAAACAATATTAATTATTAATTTTTTACTTTTCTCTTATTTTCCTATAAGCTCTCAATCTAATTAAATATGAATTGTTAACTATCAAACATCAAAGTTTTATGAAAATGCTATGCAACAAAAAATTGAAAACTTAAATATTTCTAATAGAAATCTATAATGTATTCTTTCTTATATGGTTAATATAACAATTATATGTAAATGTAATTTTTACAAAATTATGAATGCATTGGTTTTTAGGTCAGTCATTCACTTTGATATTGAGAAAAATTATGAATATTTTAATAATATACACACATAAAATCTCTCTCATTGTGTTAATGAAACATAAGAAGTTATATAAAATTAATATTATCTGTCTTCATAACACATACAAATCACAATTTTTACATGTAAAAAAACCAGCAATCAATATATTTTAATATATCAACAATCAAAATTATTTTTATTTAATATTAAAAAATTTATATTAATTTTGCGAGATAATTATATTTTATATAACAGAAAATATATATACAGAAACAAATAAAAATCTAACTACAAAAAAATTAAATATCTTTACATATTGTCAAAATGAATTTGGTAAAAAAATTTCTCATCAAAAATTGAATTTTATAACTTTTGTACAATAATTTGAAATTTTCTTATAAAATATGTATCTATGATATATTAGTCTGATGTTTTTAATTGTTTCATAATTTGTTGTGTAATTAATTTAGTCGCTTCGCTTGCATTGGGTATAAGAAATTTATCCATATCCGAAATAACCGTATCATTATATTGCGTTGTACCATATTTGAAAGTTATTAGATCAGCATGTCGCTTTCTCGACGTTATTTTAACAATACTCGTTAAAGGACGCTTAACAATTACATGTGCGGCACCTTTTCGTTCCGGGATTTCTCGCAGTACTATAAGATGACTATCGGTAATCAATAGTTGACTGAAATAGAAGAAATGTCTGTAAGAAATGCGGTCGTTTTTACGTGCAGGAAAAAATTTCATTTTTGTTATACATTCACCTATCACAGAGATCACCATTGACTTTCACTTCTTGGCATTTAAAGGAATGTAATAAATTAGGATTTTTCATCCATTGCTGTACAGATACTACTTCAATAGGCTCTTCACTTTCATTATTAGTCATAGTACTATCTATGAGAGATGGATTTATCAGATATAATTTTTTGTATAAGCAGTTTATATATAGGAACCACATTTAAAAATAGTTTGAAAATGCTTACCTATTTCTTGATCATCATCTATACTAAACACAGGCGCAGTTTTTCTTTGACGTTTAATGTAATCTAAATCTTTGCCATCATTCTTTTCTGTATTGCTATTGACGTTCGCTGTAGGATTAACAATATAATCAAACAACTTTCCTTTTACTTCTTGGCTCTTTAATTTCATAGCTAATCCGATTTTTCCCAAAAGATCGGAATTATTATTTTTAACTTTCACTGGGCTCGCTTCGTTTGAATTTTCTTCCAACATGTTAGTATTACATACTAGACAATGCTGTGAATTATGATCGACAAGACTTGATACTACTTCATCACCAAAATATTCATGAATGGCTGAAAACAAATTAAAAAGTTATATAATATACATGATTTTTTTCATCAATTGCAAAATAGAAATAAAAATATAGTTTACCTTGATATCCAGAAGTAATCATGCTAACATATTGTGTATGCTTTTGTAAAAAGGATGCTACTACCATATGTGTATAACGATCTTCCTCTTGTCTACCGCTTCCTAAAAAACAAAGATGTTCTCCACCAGCTTGTGAGCCAACAGCTAGTGCTTGGCGTTGAGCTTGCAGTAAACCTTGCACTGCTGTGGCAAACGCGGCAGGTTCTTGAAGCATCTAAAAACATGCAAATATATTTAATCTATTTTTGTATTTGTTTTACATTTTAAATATATACAAAAAAATTAAAACCTGCAAATATATACATTATTTTAGTAAGAATTTTAAAATTGGTTTGGTAAATTTGAAATCTTTTAAAAATATTCTTATAATTAATAATACTTACCAAGTTACAATCAAGATGAAATGCTGTTGGTAAATGGCCTGCATTATACTGTTCTGCTGGTCTACAATCTACGAGAAAAAATCTAACAGTCTCGACAGTATTAGGTATGGATGGAGCTTCAATAGCATTTTCTACTAATTCTTGCGCTGATACTGGTAGGCACAATGCATGAGATATTGATTTCTCGTCAGAATTTTCGCCGAACATGATAGGATATAAATCTTGTTTAAAAGATGTTGGTGTTTTCATTGCATAATATTGTGCTAAGGAACAGAAGTCGGTCACGTCCTCTGCTTCTAGAGCACACGGCATTATTGCTATGGCATCTATTATATTTTGTTTGTCTTCGTCCTTCATACTTAAAATTTGTTCTCTACAAAGATAAAAATTAGATTATATAATGTTATCAACAAATATAATGAAATATCAATTTAATCAACATTTACCTAGCATTTATAATCATAATGAGGGAGAGAAACAGCATGAAAAATGGATCAGCTTGCATAAAATACAAATCCCACATAGTGCAGATTGCTGGCAATGAACAAACACCAGCAAATAGTGTATTCATCCATATTTTTGTATATTGATCAGGTGATATCCTCTTTGTATCCAAAAATGAACACAATTCTGGTTCATGATAGAGCAGCAGTAATCTTAAAACTGAGCTGTATGTTTCGCCTCTAAAAAAAATATATTGTAGAAAAAATAATAAATAAGTGATTTTACATTAGCACAAAACACATTTGTTAAAGATTATTTGCATTATTTGCATCAATAAGATAATATATATTTTATTTAGTAATTTTATATGCATACATACATATATACAGAGTGTTTCATTTTAATCGCCCCAGGCAAATATCTCGAAAAATATGGAAATTATGAAAAAATGTTACAGACAAAAGTTGTATGGTTTCCAGGGGGCCATAAGACAGTAACATTGGTTTGAACTTGAACAGTCATTTGAAGGTTACATAAAGGTCACCTTAAATTTCTTAAATGGAATCTACTATTTTTCATTGCATATTCTTGTAGCTTATCTCGAGAGCTTTCCAAAACACTATAATTAATTATTTTTTCATGAAGTACTTTTCGAGTTATAAGGCTTGAAATCATTTTTTAATTTTACATAAATCATAAAATATCTTGTAAAATATTCATTTTTCGATTATTTTACCTTAATACTTTTATGTACAAAATAATGAGAGGAATCAATTGGTGTAAAAAAAACATACAGTTGTTTTTAAGAAAAAATATGAAAATGTTAATTGCAAATTACATATTTTTTCTTAGAAACAACTATGTGTTTTCTTTATACTAATTGATTCATCTCATTATTTTGTACATAAAAGTATTAAGGTAAGATAATCGAAACATGAATATTTTACAAAATATTTTATGGTTTATGTAAAATTAAGAAATGATTTCAAGCCTTATAACCCGAAAAGTACTTTATGAAAAAATAATTTATTATAGTGTTTTGAAAAGCTCTCGAGATAAACTGCAATAATATATAGGATATATAGAATGTTCCATTTAAGAAATTTAAGGTGACCTTTATGTGACCTTCAAATGACTGTTCAAGGTCAAACCAATGTTACTATCTTATGGCCCCCTCGAAACCATACAACTTTTGTCCAAAACATTTTTTCATAATTTCCATATTTTTCGAGATATTTGCCTGGGGCGATTAAAATGAAACACCTTGTATATACATACACACACACATACACTCATACACACACACACATAACATATACACACACACATTTATATATTTATGTATGTGCTATGTATATACATATGTATATAAAACTATATATATGTATATATAACTATATATATGTATATAAAACTATACAAATTGAACATAACAATAATAATTAATTAGCATATACTAATTAGCAAACTTTAAAATGATATCGTGTGTCACACTTCTTTGCTATATTCTACATATATACATATGTATGTATATATGTAAAATATATATATGTACCTTGGGATATAGATATCTCTTATTGCCTCAAAGAGATTATAAGTTGCAGCACGTGGTAATTTTAAAGCTATCAAAGGACCCAATAATTCTATCCATCCATTTCCTCTTTCATATTGTTTACATTTACTTTTACAATAAAATGTTAATATAGATTCAAGATCAGAAACCACAGAGACTTTATCTTCATCATCATTACCAAGTTTGGCTACAATTCAAAATAAATATAAATAAGACTGATTAAGAAACCTATGTAATATCCTTTTTGTGTATTTACCGACTAGTTGTTGACAATCGTCACGAATTATATTTTGTTCAGGTAAATCATAAACTTCATTAAATTGGCTCAATTGATCGCGTCGATCAGTAACATACAGACAAGCCTGCCAAACATCTGGTCTTAAATTTGTAGGGATTGGTTGGCCTTTACAAATAGCATATATATCAGATGCAGATGGTACTTCTGTATCAAGAAGCGCTGCTTCCAATTCTAATATCCTGAAATAATAAACAATTAACTTAAAAATGAACAAAAAGCCTGTTATTTGTAAAAATTATGTTAAAAATAAATAAATATATATATATATATATATATATATATATATAAAATGATTACATATACATAATAGAAATATACCAACAATATAGACATAACATATTAATTAGCACATATTAATGAGCAAACTTTAAAATAATATTGTGTAAGTCACACTTCTCTACTACATTCTGCTATACTTCTTATAAAATAACGATTATGTAATATATGTATAATATTACATTTAAATTTTTTTACGTACAAATTTGATATAAACCATGTATATCACAAAACCTTTAAACGTAAAGATTTCGATTAACGTGTAAACGATTAACCATATTATGTATTAATATAACAACAAAAAAAATATGACATCCCTCGAAAAGATAAAGAAAAATTGTTTTATCAATTTACCAGGTGTTCTCGTCCTCTTGTAGTGCCATTGTAGCAATAAATGTCACAGAAAAAACTCCCGATATGTGCGAGAATACGCAAAATTCGATGTCCGTTAAAATTATCTATGATAAAAAGAACACTTTCAGACGTTTAATATATTTTGAAACGAAAGCTTTCATATTTGGTGACTTTTTTCAATTGCAATAGGCTAACAATGGCATAATATTTAATGAAACGTAGCTGATGTTGACAGATCGTCGCCATCTTTCCGGTTAGACGTTTATCGTTAGTAGATATCGTTGAATAGTCGATGTTTTTATTTTTACATTACTTGAGATATATTAGAGAATAAAAAATTATGAATAAAATTTGACAAGATATCTTTAAAGTATTCATATTTAAATGAGTTTTTTAAATCGTAAGGAAAATGTTTTTTATAGTTATAGGGAAATATCTGTAGAGAATGTACACTGCACGACAACGATTCGTTCCATGATCCCTCTCGCGAGGCAAGGGGAGCGTAGCCTCTAACCAATCAGCCATTGCCACGCTGCCAGCTGATTGGTCACTTCTACGCTCCCCTTGCTCCGCGAGAGAGGGGTCACGGAACGATCGTTGTCGCGCAGTGTACAGTTACATAAATAATACATTATTTTTATAATGTTCAAGAAATACATATATAGTGCGTTCGAAAATATGTTTCGTTGGTGTTGGGAAAAAAGATAAAGTTGGCAGTATTGAAAACTCCCAGTGCTGCGTTTTGTTTCTCCCACTGGGATCATTAGGATTGTATTTAATGCGTTCGAAAATATGTTTGGTTGGTGTTGGGAAAAAAGATAAAGTTGGCAGTATTGAAAACTCCCAGTGCTGCGTTTCGTTTCTTCCACTGGGATCATTAGGATTAAAAAAATTTGCTACTTGAGATATTAAAAGAGATAAATAAGTAGTTAAATATATTTTAGAATATGTTTAATAATCACATATATTATTATTAATACAAAAGTGTGTTTTATATTAATAATGCTATAATTATAATAAAGTGACATGATTTACCTAAAATGTGATTTAAATTCAATATTTGTATATCTGGTAACAACATTTTCCAAATAATTTGTTATTTTTGGTACTATTTTCCTTTCACCTCTATTGTTATTACCTATATTATGGAATAAAATATTTTGTAATTCTTCATTATTATCATCACTATCTGAAGAAGAACTACTCGAAGATTCAAAAATGATGTTTTCGAGTAAAATATATTGTTCCATAATAATAATTAGTGTAATTGCAACACTTTCATATATTACCTCTTTCATATATTACCTCTCAAGTAGCAAATTTTTTAAATCCTAGTGATCCCAGTAGGAGAAACGAAACGCAGCACTGGGAATTTTCAATACTGCCAACTTTATCATTTTTTCCCAACACCAACCAAACATATTTCATTGATCCGGATTAGTCTAAGGAAATTTAGGAAGTCTATCGCTGAGTACCACTGTTTAGTCCGATCAGAGATCTGATTAGTCGTAAACATCCAAGGTAAGGTAGAGAACCTCTAGGAGAGAGAATGGACAACTGATCATGTGACATGTGATCAAGCTTTTTCATGATTGGCTGGCAGAAAATGTATCAATTTTAGCTATTGCGACGCCAATGCAAAATATGATGACACACAAATAGGACACACATGACACACATATATTAACCTATTTGTGTGTCATCATATTTTGCATTGGCGTCGCAATAGCTAAAATTGATACATTTTCTGCCAGCCAATCATGAAAAAGCTTGATCACATGTCACATGATCAGTTGTCCATTCTCTCTCCTAGAGGTTCTCTAAGGTAAGGAATTCGGATGTTTCTTCGGTAATGTTCGTCGAGAGGGCGCGGCGAAGCTTCCTCCTTCCTCTCGTCTCGTGAGCCGTCATGAATTAGCATCCGATAGCGCTTTGGTCAGCTTTGGTTGGTGTCGAGAACGATCGAAAGGATCGTGTGCAACGCGAACTCGAAATTCGAAGCAACGGCACCAGGTCTAGAATAAGCCCGCGCGCGTGTCCGCATGATCGCTTGGATTTGGTGTTTTCTCGCAGTCTCGCCAGTTACATCGGTGAGAGATTTGCGATTGTCTGTATCGTAGTACCGGTGTCGTGTCGTGGTGACCGTGTCCACGCGCGAATAATTCTCGAAGGAATTATGACCGCGAGTGGCGTGGCTGGCAACAGTCCGCTGCCAAAATGGCAACTCGCCCTGGTGGTTGGAGCGCCGGTCGCCCTTGGTCTCGGCTACATGTATTACAAGAACAAGAATAGCAACGGCAGTAGCGATAGGGCCAGCAAGTCGTCGGAACGTGATAAGTTCAGGAGCGGCACGACGTCATCCAAGGAGAATGGAGCGCCTGCCGACAAGCAGATCTCCATCGACGGCGACTGTCCACCGAAAGTGCCTTCTCCTGTAACTGAGTCGGAGGTTAAGAGATCGTGGATTATGGTCCATATTCTGAATCCTCTTTTATCGATAAAAGGGCTTTTAAAAGTGGCCTGTAACCAATCAGAAGGCTTAAATTCCACTTTTAGAGGCACTTTTATCGATAAAAGAGGATTCAGAATATAGGCCTATGAGTCATTATCGTGAAAATTCATTTCACTGACGAGGATAGTAAATAAGAAAAAATAAAATATCTTCTACATTGTAGATATATATGATATTTTTTAACGATTGAAAAGCGTTATTAGCGATAATGTAATAATAATATGTATTAATTTATCATCTCTCTGCTGATGAATCAAATTGTTGAATTATTGCTGTTGTTATCACAAGTGATTTTCAGTAAATGAAGCATCTGCAAATATACAAGTGATATAATTTAGTAATAAATCAATTTTGCACTCAAATGAGATTGATAAGACATTATAAACAAATATTTGATAAATGGATTTTTTCATTATATCATTATCAGGGTTGGGTAATAACTAGTTGATTAGTTAAAAGTTAAAAAAAAAGTTAAAAAGTTAATAATTTTTAACTCAATTTAGTTATTTTAAAAAGAGTTAACTTTTAACTTTAACTAGTTATTTTTAAAACACATAAACTTAAATTTATTAACTTTCTCCCCAAATTTATTTGATGATTCATATTATTATTATTTAGAGTAATCTAATTTTAAAATTAACACAATCTAATTTAATATAAAGTGAAATAATGCTTTTCAAAATTTTAACTTTTATCTTAACTAACGTTAATTTAATCTTAACATAACTTTTATTGAGTTTTTTTATTTGTATAACTTTTATAACATAACTAAATTAATTTTTTAACCCATTAACTTTAACTTAATTTAGTTTAAAAAAAATATAAACTTACCCAACCCTGATCATTATATACTTGTTTATTTCTTAAAAAAATATAAAATTTTTTACAATGAAATAATTGTCCATTTGACCATATTAGCATTATATATTGTCATTATATATCTTTAGAAATCACTTCTTTCACTTTTAATTGTAGCTACCATTAACCTAGCGTTGTGGTTTTTTTGTCTTTTTTCCCTATTTTATTTTGATTTATATATCTTTAGGTTATCATAAGCTATAGAAGATAAAATGATGGAAATAGATAGATACAAGCTATGGCTAACTCAAACTTTCATTTTAGATACAAGATATGACTAACTGTAAACTTTCATTTTAGATTCCTTTACAAAAGGCGCAAAAATATAAAAATGAAGGAAATGTACAATTCAAGATGGGAAAATATGATGAAGCCATAATACGATATAATAAAGCAATTGATATTTGTCCAAACGAGAATAAGGAGGACCTTGCAACTTTTTATCAAAATAGAGCAGCTGCTTATGAACAATTGGTAATATAATTACAATAGTAACAATAGTAATAGATATAGCAACATATAGTGTAAGTATAAAAAATACTTGTTAATTGTATGAATTAACTATATGTATCATAATTATTAATAAACTTGCAGAAAAAGTATAGTGCTGTAAAGGCAGATTGTACAAAAGCATTGGAATTAAATCCAAAATATGCAAAAGCTTTGTTACGTCGAGCACGTGCTTTGGAACAAATAGGTGATTTGGAAGCCGCCTTGGAAGATATCACTGCCGCATGTATTCATGAAGGCTTTTATAATCAGACTTCCCTTTCATTGGCGGATAAAGTTTTGGGAAAGCTTGGTGAGTTATGTATGCACAAAAACATCTTGATGTTAAATAAAATATTTTTTAAAATAAAAAATTAAATAAAAATTATTTTCAGGAAAGCAACATGCTCAGGAAAATTTAGCAAACAAAAAATTCATAATGCCAAGCAAACATTTCATCAAAACTTATATCATGTCTTTTCCTAATGATCCAGTATTTACTAGGCTTCAACATTCAGAAGATATTCCACAGTAAGTATTAACAGAAGAACTTTAATAATATAATTTTGATGTTAATCTTTTCATTTATAATTGTAATGTTTATTACTATTCAATTATCAGATTTTTTAAAAAACCATTACAAGCATTAAAAGACGAAGAATATGATGATATAATACCGTTGTGCACAGAAGTTATTAAGAGTTCTGAATTTAATATATTACCTTCGTCTAAAATGGAAGTATTACTTTTACGAGCTACATTTCATCTTCTCTTGGGCGAGTATGATGCTGCAATTCAAGATTTTGAAAGTATATTAAATAGCGAAGAAACGTCCAAAGATGTAAAAGTAAATGCTCTAATAAAGAGGGCAACCTTATATATGCAACTTGAAAATCCAGACATGACTTTCAAGGATTTTGAACTAGCTATTAGTATAAATCCAAAATATGGTGATATTTATCATCATAGAGGACAGGTATTACACATTTTTTTATTGCTTGTTTTTATGAGGAAGTTAAATTATGTATCATAAAGTAATTTAACACGTTAAACGTCACGCCGATCCCTACAGACCAGAGCTGGATTTTGTTTACGCTATGCCACTGTGCCGATCCCTGCGTACCAAGGCTGAACATTATCTTTTATTTACACTTTAGTTCACATACTACTTAAACAGAAAGACAATCAAAATCGTATCCATATGAAAATGTAATTTAATCGCAATTTTTGCGTATCTCAGTTAACGTTGCAGCATAAACGGAAAGGCAAACAAAAAAATAGGCTCAGCGTTTAACGTGGTAATAACAATAATTTCAATAATATATTCTCTCAATTCAGCTGAATTTACTCATGCATAAAATGGATGAAGCTAAAAGCGATTATGAAAAGGCAATCCATTATAACCCAGATTTTGGTATTGCATATGTCCAAAAATGTTACACAGACTATCGTTTTGCGATCTTTAACAGAGATGTGAGACTAGCTGAAGAGGCAATGAAAGATTTTGAGAAAGCTTTCATAAAATTCCCGGATCGTTCTGAATGTTATATGTTATATGCTCAGGTGTGTAATCTACAATTTTTAATATTGAAAGGAATAAAAAAAGATGTAAACTGAAAGAAAGAGAGTAAATACTGAATTATTACTGTTGTGTACTCTATATATTGATTGTATTGATGAAATTTTGAATGATTATTATAGATGATGGCTGAAACTCAACAATATGATAAAGCAGATATGTATTTTGCTAAAGCAATAGAGAAAGACCCAAAGAATGCAACTATTTATGTGCATAAAGGCTTATTACAATTACAATGGAATGGTAATATCGATAAAGCTGTGGAATATTTTCGCAAAGCGTTAGAAACAGATGAGAAATGTGAGCATGCATATGAATCTTTAGGAAGTATCGAAGTGCAAAGGTATGTTTTTTTTAATGCATTCTTTCTTTATAATTAAAATTTGTATATTTCATAAATATATTTTTTTATATAGAGGGAACATAAGAGAAGCAATAAGATTATTTGATAAAGCTTTGGAATTGTGTCGTACATCCATGGAGCTCGCACATTTATATAGTCTGAGAGATGCTGCACAAACGCAACTTAATTTACAGAATAGGTTGGGTATGGAAGGCATACGGACACCTTCGTTATTCAACCCAAATCCTATGTCTTAAATTATTGAAAGATTAAAATAAAAAGTATGCACTGTTACCAAATCTAAAGGATCCAATTTTGTATTAACGCATATCCATTTTTATCACATGGGATATCAGAGGAACTGATTAGAAATGTACAAGTAGCTTGTTTCATATTATTTTATATCAAAAGACTGTGGAGCTTGTATAATGGTAGTTTTTTTTTGTAATTATATATTTAATTTGATTTGCATTAAAAAAAAATTAGTAATATGTAAAAAATGTGTTTACATAAGACCATCAAAGCTTTATTAGTATTTATTATTAAACTGATATTTATAGACAATTTTTTTTTAGAACTGCAAGTTTTATTTGTACGTTTCTGTTGTTAATATATGCAAATATTAAAATTTGATATGTATTTGAATTACTTTATAAATTATAATCTCAAATTTTGAAAACAGCATATTTATTACTATTTGTGCAAATTACTTTACAATACATTGAAAAATAATGGCCTATTACAGTCGATCAAAAGCATGATTTTTTTGTATTATTTTGTACATGATCAGATAGTGTTTTTTAACTGAATTATGTGCAATTATTTATATAATAAGAAATTGTATGAAAATTTGTATTTACTTATTTTTTATTCTGTAGAAAATAAAACATGCATTAATGAATTAAATATTTTAAATATATTTTGGTATAGAATAGTATCATGTAAAATTTTAAAATGGGCCTACGGAATTTTGTAATAAAAAGGTAGAAGAGAATTATCTTCATATATATATATAAACTATAGTAAATTTATGATTTATAATTATAACATATTTTGCTTAACCTTCATTTACAATAGCTGTTAAAGAGAAGAACTAATCTTGTACAAATTTTTTAAAATATATATATACATATTTTTTATACATAAGAAAAAAATATATAATCTTATATTTTTAAATATCATAAAATATGGAAGCCAGAGGATATCTAATAATAAATGCCAGTATACTGCTAATAACCTGAAAGACAAATTTCTCTCATATTCTGAGTCCTCTTTTATCGATAAAAGAGCCGCTAAAAGTAACTTATAAGCCTTCTGATTGTTACAAGGCACTTTTATTGATAAAAGAAGATTTAGAATATGGATTATCTTCAAAACAATGCACTTATACATTTTTGTTAAAAATATATATATTGTTACCTGAATTATTAATAGAATCGTTGTAAGGGTCGGTTCTTTTAATGGACCAGTGTTGATTAATATAAAATTAATCAAAGTTAGATTATTGCAAGTTATAATACCTTTTCCATCTTCTTGCCATTTTATCAATTTAAACATTTTAAATATCCATATCAATAATTTTCCTAAAGTAAAGGAAAATGGATTTTATAATGACAACATTATGAACAATTTCTTTAATATATGTATATGTATGTATGTATGTATATGTGCTATATTTATAAAATTATTATACCAATTGTATTAAGTTCTGATTTGTTAAATACAGTTGTACTAGGCTCCAATTTGTTCGTTTCTTTATTATACCTATGGATAAAAAAGATATAGCAATTTCTTTCATTATATAAACTAATAGAATTGTTTATTTTATAATAATATTTTTTTAGTTATATATATCTGAAATTTACTTTGGTAATCTATGTCTAGGACATGGTATGAAATGAAAGAGCTGTAGCACGCTATATAGAAAATTGATTATTTGGGGAATGAAAAACAATAGAATCGTTTTGCTGAAGTGACCTATAATACCAACGACAGCAAAGGTCATTCCCGAAAGGTAACAAAATGTATCGCCTACAAAAACCTGCGATGGATACCTTAAAACAAAAAAGAATTGTTATTTTTATTATTATTAATTCCCTATTATTATTCTTATATAATCTCATCTTAAACTAGCTATACAGGATGTCCTAGACCACCCGTACACCCATTTTCTTTCAAAAACTAAGCATTTTAGAGAAAAACGTTTTCGACAAAAATTGTATGGTTTTGAGGGGAACATAAGATGGTGTCATTGGTTTGACCTTGGATGGCATTGTTAAGGTCAGGTCAAAGACATCTTTAATTTCTTAAATGGAACCTATTTTTTATTGCCTATTCTTATAGCTTATGTCGAAAGCTTTCCAAAACACTACAATAAAGTATTTTTTCATCAAGTACTTTTCGAGTTATAAGGCTTGAAAGTTACAGTATTGTGACATAATATTTTGTTAAATATTTATTTTTCAAATTCCTTACTTTTTATTTTTGCAAACATTACGAATCAATTAATGTAAAGAAAACACATAATATAAAAAAAATAAATATTTAACAAAATATTATGTCACAATACTGTAACTTTCAAGCCTTATAACTCGAAAAGTACTTGATGAAAAAATACTTTATTATAGTGTTTTGGAAAGCTCTCGATATAAGCTATAAGAATATGCAATAAAAAATAGGTGGTTCCATTTAAGAAATTAAAGGTGTCCTTGACCTGACCTTAACGATGCCATCCAAGGTCAAACCAATGACACCATCTTATGTGACTCTCAAAACCATACAATTTTTGTCGAAAACGTTTTTCTCTAAAATGCTTAGTTTTTGAAAGAAAATGGGTGTACGAGTGGTCTAGGACACCCTGTATAATATATATGTAGTTATATAGTAGCTGTATATATATATATATATATATATATATATATATATATATATATTATCCCTAACAGCACATGTAGATACTGAGAATGTTCGAAGAATATCGCAAAAGTACAATGCATATATTCTCAGAACATTCGAGATACATACTATGATATATTAAGTATATACTAAGAATGCTCTAATGCCTATTTTGGTTAATAGTAAATACTGAGAATATCTTGTAATATAATTTATATATGTAATATAAATATTTTTGATAAATGGCGTAAACGCACACACTATTTTTCATTTTAATTTTAAATAATCTTTTTAATATTCTAAATCCTAACCGGGAATCCAGAGCAACTAAACTACTAAACAAATTTTAAATTAAGTCAATTTATTATAAATTAAACTGACTAAAAAGAAAAAAGAAGAAACTTTGAAACTCATGTTAATACCAGTCCTTTATGTCCATTTCACCAAAAATTAAGTACGAGTTTGGTAGCACGCGTAGCGGCAAAATGAGGAAACACATGCAATATTATAGAATCTTCTGAAAATATACGAGAAAGAATATACTAATATGAGATATTCAAAGTATATTCTAAGAATATATGAAAAATAATATACAACAAGAGATGTTATGGGATTATTCTCAGTATTACATCTGTAACGTATATTTACAGTATGAGTATAGAATATTCGAATGATATTATGTGCTGTTAGGGTGTATATATATGTATATGTAGTAAATGATATACTATTTAAATGTATCCTAATTTTATCTTATATAATTTTATATCGAAATTTTATTTATTTTAATAGTACTTTCTATTTATATATAGAGATTTGATATCCTAAAATTCACGAATATATGAAATAAGACATGTGCTAAAGAAGCCAATTTGAGATACGCCATTGTGCCATGACTATAAGGAAGAATAAAGAACAATTATGATGACTACAAATATGTGAGACTTTGTATCTAAGAATTATATTTGAAGAATCATGAAGAAGATGGAACCATGTGACATCGGAATCATTATTTTCGTTATGGAACTCAATTTTTGTTGGAATAATATGAGACTCCTGGCTTCTGACTCACTATGGGTGAGTCCGACTCATCCATAGGACTATTACTCGTGCTCGACAACGAAGAATAACATATAGAATCGCACGAGATGCCTCTCTAAAAGACGCGTGCGCTCTGCGAATAGTCGCGATCACATTTGTGGCAGGAGTGTGTTCGTGACGAACACACGGATAGATTGCCGGCTGGTTGTGCGGCACTCGGGCGTGGTTTTTCACGTCGTCACGATCCGTGCGCGCTGCTACCCGGGCTGAAGACGAGAGTACCCTTCTGAATCCCTTGGAGTCCCGGATCAACGGGGACCAGTCAGCTAACGACTATTTGTGAAACTACAAGTATGCGCGGTATCACATATCTACACCGATTGCCAATCGTATAGTCGTCGTGAAATTCCATTTATATTAATTGTCAGGATTGACGTAGACGATTCAATGATTGTGGTCATCGGGAATTAAATGACACGTCGCGCTGCGGTCATCCTTGCACAAAAGATCATCGCAACAAGAGATCCTGGTGAAACCATTCGCACTGTGAGCGACGCTTTATTACGTAATATTTTGTAGCATGTCGTTGACATGCGTACGGGACGAAGACGCCGGGACATTTAATTCACCCAACGAATCTCGACAAGATATCGTGCGACTTTTTACGCTTGATTGAATGCGAAGTCGCTTAAGTTTCACGAATGTGAAGAATTAGAATTTAATGATAAATAACACACACACACACACACACACACACACACACACACACACACACACACACACACACACACACACACACACACACACACACACACACACACCCACCCACCCACCCACCCACCCACCCACCCACACCCACACCCACACCCACCCACCCACCCACATATATACAGGAAATATATGAAACATCAGTTAGAAATAAGGTCAGCGAATTTTACACTAGAAAAAAATACGCGAATATAAAAATATAAATATTGTGCATTTAAGCGGAAAATCAATTCCAGATCAAAATGTAAATTTAAAAACATTCAATTATCATTATAAGAAAACATAATTATATATATATTGTATTAATAACAATGAAAATAAGATAATTGTGTTATTTTCTGTTTTCAGATGATGCTCATGGGATTAGAATCTTAACAAAAATGTCTTTGACAACAGCAAGATTTTTCTACAGAGACATAAAATGAAATATTAGATTTTCGAGCACAGGGATCGGTGCCATGCAGGTTCGTTTAGATGGGAAGCTGGCATTGCTGTATACTCTATTAATCTTGCAGGTTCTAATTGTTATGATTTATGTCGCCACAACTCCACCAGCAGAATTAACTGTGTTAACGACTCATGCATCTGTCAGTTTCGTTAAATTTGAAGCATCGCAGGTATAACTGATGAAACTTAATAATGTATATCATTAATTTGTTTCAGATCTTTTATAATGAAGCTAAAATTTCTTTTCTTACTATTAAAGGAGCTGCAATTAAATCAAGGCAATCGTAAAAAATCACCAATTTATCAGACAATCAATGGAGAGATAGTATTGAAAGATGTCAAAACTTTTAGACTGTTTGAAATATATAATCACACAGTATGTTGGAAATTTGGAGTAAACGAGCATAAGATGAGAAGCAATGAGCATCTGGAAAGATGTATATGCAATCAAGGATGGCATGGCTGGGATTGCGGACAACCTGAAGTTGTATGGAGAGCAATCATGGCGTCGAAGCAGAATATTAGTCTGAAACGACGTAAAACTGCTAGACACATTATTCATACCTTTTTTTTGAGTGAATACAATTCAGGCATCGTCGAAGTGATTGTAGAGGAACTCTACAATGTGGTGGATCTTTTTGTAATTTGTGATTTTAACAATGCAGAAGATAATTTTCGGCATAAACTGTCCAAAGGACTATTACAGCAGGAGCAAAAGAAAATCTTATACATTAACGTAGCGGCAAGGTCTCGCAAACCATTAAGGATAATATCGAAATACGTCTGGGATAGAATCAAGAGTGTAGTACAGAACTTAAGGGATGATGACATTTATGTAATGACGGAGCCCGAACAGATATTGAATGCCAGGGCATTAATGTTCCTCAAAGTGTACGACGGTTGGGCCCAGCCTATCGGATTTAGATTAAGATGGTCGGTATATGGCTTCTTTTGGCAACATCCGCTTAAGACAACGATAACGCTTGGCGCGTATACTGTCGGTTTAATGCGTAATGCCTATCAATCTAATTCACTTGTACTACAGCAATTGGACGGAGACACGAGCGAGAGAGATATTTTAGGATTAGTAATAGGAGATTTAAATCACTATGGCGGATGGTACTGCAATCTGTGCCAAGCGCCTGCAAATATTATTATCGATCTTCGCAACAAGGTGCGGTCTAAGGAAATTCATATTGAAAAGACTATAGATGTGCCATTTGTTGAAGATCTAATCGGAAGCGGACTGTGGTTGGATGGTAAAACCAACCTTCTGAGAGCTTCTAAATCTAGAGATTCCTACTTTGCGCCTGAAACGATTCTCAATAACACATGGAAATATGACTGGCTAGTAGAGAATTTTTATGCTAAATTAGATTATTACTGACATACTGGTCGCACCAACTGTGATATTAATTTAAATTCTATACTCAATGTACACTAATGTAATATTATATACTGAATTTATACATTAAAATATTATGTTGACAAAATTTATATGTTAAGTGATTTATAATTATATATAATAATTTTGTATAATATTTTTATATTTTTGAAATTTTAAAATCTCTTAAATGCAAAAATATTTCTGTTATATATTTAAATTTATTTTAATATCAAGAAAGAATATTTTATGTATAAAGATAATCTATGATATAACTTACCAATTAAATTTGAATAATGCAAGAGAAGTTGCTATGTAAGGAAGCATAAAGTATATTGAAAATTGATGCGCCTTCCACTGTGTACCAGATAATTCTATAATATTGAAGATGAGAATGCTCGTAGCAATGATTAAACTCTGGCCAACCTCCAAACCATTGATTCCAGCTAATATGTTTATCGCATTTGTACAGAATACAGCCAACATTCCCATATATATATAGTAAAATATCCATAAATCCAATGAAAAACCAAACCATAGTCTCAATGGTTTTGGTATAATGATTATCGTGGAATTAAAATTAACATAATAAACCATCAATAATGGCAAGGATGCTATAGTAGGTAAAAGTAATTTGTGTCGCCAACGTAGGTCCAAAACATCATCGGCAAGACCCAAAAGTAGCATGCAACATATGGACAATAATGCAGCCAGAAATTCAACAAACTGTAATATATGAAAAGTTTGTTCTTTATAAGCATCTTATTTACATATATCTTTTAAAACAAACATACATAATAATATCATAGTATTAATATATCTTTAAAAATTAAATGTAAGTTTTAAAAATTTTATTTAAAAAATGTCCATCTTAAATTCAACTAATTTTCTAATACCTAAAAAAACAAATAACTACTTTTTGTTTAATGTTGTCTAATATAATCTTACCTTGTCGTGTGGAAAGTTTTCATTTTTAAGTATATGATCTGTAAATGGTACAGGAATAAATAAGAACATTGTTATGAGAAATATACATCCGGTAACAACACCTATTGCTTCTGGTCTGCAAAAATAAACCGATCATGTTATATACGCATCGTTGTATACAACATTTCACAAAAGAATACATATGTGATGATAAGATGTAATATTATATAATATTACATTGAGATTTTCTCATCTCACTTACATTTTATCACTGGTTCTCTTATTCATGTCAATGCCGTAGAGGTTAGCTTTGACAAACATGGATTTTATCCTCGGAATGAGATGAATAGTCAAATAGCATGCACTCGCAGACATTATCGCGTTAATACATATTGGAAAAAACAATAACCACATTTCGTCTTCGACGTTCATTTTAAAATTCCACACGTAACACCGGTTTTCACAAGTATATACCTAGGGTCTGTTCGTTTTAGCTACACTGCTCCACTAGTGCAATTAGTTAGAGTGAAAGAAAGCATGTTTGTCTTTTTCTAACTTATTGCACTACTCCAGCAGTGCAGCTAAAACGACAGACCCATATACACACACACATAGCGGCAGTATGCAACCACAGTATATACAGTAGCGCAACTCTCCCGATTTTGTGTAGCATAAAATGAAATGCGCATGCGTAAAGTCAGCGAGTATACCAGTACTGCCATCTGCACTTCCCTCTCACTCTCTCCTTTGGTTTTCGTTCTCTTTCTAACACATTATAATATGTAATATAAATTAAATTCAATAAAACTTGAATATATGTACATAAAGAAATCGTGAAAAATATAATATAAAATATATAATGCAAACATATATAAAAAATAATATATATGACATGATGTGAATATTAATTAACCATTTTATATATCACATATAACTGATAGCAGAAAAGAATGAAAAGATATATACTCATAATACTCATATATAATTTATAATATATTTACATATTAATACTTATATATATAATTTTTAATATATTTATATATTAATTGTACATACATATATTCTATATATATATATATATTTTTTCAAAAACTTAAAATTAAAAAAAACATTTAGATTAACACTACAATCACTTAAAGTTTATTATATAAAATATATATATTTATGATCAAAATGAAGAAAGAAACAAGAAATATATATTTGTTAATAATATATATTATTAACAAATATACACATATATTTCTAAATGTTTTTTTTCATTTTAAGTTTTTGAATATACATATATATAGAATATATGTATGTACAATTAATATATAAATATATTAAAAATTATATATGTAAGTATTAATATGTAAATATATTATAAATTATATGAGTATTATGAGTATATATCTTTTCATTCTTTTCTATCAGTTATATATGATATATAAAATGGTTAATTAATATTCACATCATGTCATATATACTATTTTTTATATATATTTGCATTATATATTTTGTATTATATTTTTCACAATTTTTATATATATATATGTTCAAGTTTTATTGAATTTAATTTATATTATATATTATAATGTGTTAGAAAGAGAACGAAAACCAAAGGAGAGAGTGAGAGGAAAGTACAGATGGCAGTACTGGTATACTCGCTGACTTCACGCATGCGCATTTCATTTTATGCTACACAAACTTCAAAGGTGCCGACAGGGAGTTGCGCTACTGTATATACTGTGATGCAACCATAGCATATGAAAGTATAGATCGAGCATGAGCTGCTATTATGGGCAAGGGAGGATCTGTTTCTCGGGCGGGGAAGGCACTTACTTGACATCGGTTCATTCCGCTAAGACTCGACAATATTCGGCTTAGGCTGATGGCAGAGAATTAGATGTCTGTCGTAGTCGTGGATGTAAAGTAAGGCTGATGGTAGAGAACTAGATGTCTGTCGTAGTCGTGGACGTAAAGTAAGACAGAGAAAAACGTATGTCGTACAAGGCTATTGTGACAATGGCCTTGTAGGACATACGTTTTTCTCTGTCTTACTTTACGTCCACGACTACGACAGACGTAAGCACTCATGTCTCTGCCATAAGGCAGAGAAAAACGTATGTCGTACAAGGCCATTGTCACAATGGCCTTGTACGACATACGTTTTTCTCTGTCTTACTTTACGTCCACGACTATGACAGACATCTAGTTCTCTGCCATCAGCCTTACAAACTGCGGCTGCCATATGTATATTGTGTTTGTTAGTGGCATAGATATGTGAAAGGTTAGTGGATACCTGTGGATTTGTGGATACTTAAAAGTGTATAATATATTGCAAAAAAATGAGCTTTTGCGTTGTGTTCAAGTGCAAAAATCGATGCACAAAAAAAATGTTGAACAATTAGAAGTGGAAAGTGCTTTAAACCGGAAAATTTCATTTCATTTGTATGTAAAATATTTTAAATGTATAACATATATTTTATTTGCCTATTTTATAAAAATTTTAATTAATTGTTAGTGAGAATGTGTGACAGTAATACACATTCCTTTGACATATATATATTTAGAACAATACAATATTAAAAATAATATAAAATAATATTAAATATATAATTTGTTACATATATTAATGTGTTAAATAAATAATACATTTGTTTAATAAAAAAAAAAGTCAAATATTTAGAATGCAAGAGTGTATCAGTGGTTTCGAATTTTTTAAAGCAAGTATTACAAAATATTTAATATTAATTTTAAACATTTTTATGAATAATAGATTAGATCTATTCTTTTCAGCTTAACTAGCTGCACTAATTTAAAGTTTATTTTTTTCCTTCACATTGGAAAAAGAAAATAACCTCTAAATTAGTATAGCCAGTTCAGCTAAAAAAAATAAATAACCTATTGAGAATCACTTAGTAGTCACGGACAACCGAACATATCCGAGTCACAAATAATCGACTTCAAGTGAGTGCCCCTCTTGCCGCAATTATCAATACCCCTCGTGAAAAGGCTCTGTCTATAGTTTCATATGTCTATGTATGCAACATCGACATTTTAGGGGTCTGTTCTTTTCTAGTGCGTTCGAAAATATGTTTGGTTGGTGTTGGAAAAAAAGATAAAGTTGACAGTATTGAAAACTCCTAGTGTTGCGTTTCGTTTCTCCCACTGGGATCAATAGGATTAAAAAAATTTGCTACTTGAGATATTAAAAGAGATAAATAAGTAGTTAAATATATTTTATAATAATATGTTTAATAACATTACATATATTATTATCAATACGAACATGTGTTTTATATTAATAATGCTATAATTATACTAAAGTGACATAATTTATCTAAAATGTGATTTAAATTCAATATTTGTATATCTGGTAACAACATTTTCCAAATAATCTGTTATTTTTGGTACTATTTTCCTTTCAACTCTATTTTCGAATAAAATATTTTGTAATTCTTCATTATTATGATCACTATCTGAAGAAGAATTACTCGAAGATTCAAAAATGATGTTTTTGAGTAAAATATATTGTTCCATAATAATAATTAGTTTAATTGCAACACTTTCATATATTATACATACGGTACAATACAATCCTAATGATCCCAGTGGGAGAAACGAAACGCAGCACTGGGAGTTTTCAATACTGCCAACTTTATCTTTTTTCCCAACACCGACCAAACATATTTTCGAACGCACTATTCAGCTGCACTGCTGCACAAGTGCAATTAGTTAAAGCAGACAGAAGCCTGAGAGGGGCCGCTGCATTTTTGAGGGAACGCTTTCCCTACGTCGTACACTAGCGGTGCGTACATCCATTTTACGGCGCCTGGGATCTACAGACTACATCCACTTTTGATACCGATAAAACAGTCCATTTTGGTTCATATCCGTGCTACATCCACAATTTGTAGATCAAAAATAGTTCCGCATATAGATATAAATTAATGTATTTTTTTTAGTTGCGCGATTTCTTTTTCATTGAAGCATACATTATAAACGTCAATGCTATTAATGAAATAAGTTTATGTTTATATAAATACATATATGTATAGAATATATGCTATTCTCGAGATATAAGAACAGAAAAAATAAATGATATATATAAACTTCTCAGTAAATTGAATTTTATTTAAGACGATTGTAGAATAGAGACAATTTTTCAGATTAATAATTTCAGAAAACTTTTCTGTATGTTTTTGTAATCTGAAATGTTATGCACAATAAAATATACATCTTTTTAATATAATCCAAGACATCTTAATTAAAAATTATTTTTCCCTTTTTTATTCTTAAAAGTAAAAGTATATTAATCATAAAAAAAGCGGTACCAAATGACCCAGCAAACACAGAGATGTAATATATATCTCTCAGAGTTATAACATTATATATCACAAGTAACATAGTTACATAATAAGTAAAATACATGTATGTTACATGTACTGCTAAATGTCAGCAACAAAAGTACTTCTCTGATATATCAGAGATATGTATCACTGAACTTTAAATATTATATTTATGTTATATAATCATACCACTATATCACATAACAAATATATTTCAGTTACGGAACATTAGGTAACATATACATTTCAAATGCATAACAATGTATAAATGTGTTACATATAGTTTACTCATATGTAAGGCGCACAATAGAGAAAATACTAGGAATAAATATTAATTAAATATTAGAAGTAAGAATTATTTTAAAATAATAAATTCGAAAAAATGTGATATACAAATACAAATTCGAATATAAAAGGCTCTTACTAGTTTATTAGCCCTTACTATAATCCTTTATAGCCGAATTTATATTTTTATATCAGAAAAATTTTTTCGATTTTATTATTTTAAAATATAATTCTTACTCATTATATTTTCTCTATTGTGCGCCTTACATATAAACAAAATGTATGTTGTTACACATTTACACATAGTTATATATATGCATTTGAAATGTTTATGTTACTTAATGTATATCCACATTGCGTGTTTATTAGGAATTAATAGGTATCATTTAGAGGATTAGCCATATTGTAATGTTATTTTATTCTTAAGTTATTTTTTATATTTTTGGCAAATATTATATAACAGAAATTACATAAATAATTAAAAAATGTATTAAAATCTTATATTAATGTATAGTAATTATATATCACAAGTATATATTTATTTTTTATAAATATTTAACATACATACACTTGAGAAAAAAAGGATAAAATAAAATTTCAAAGATAAATAATAATTTTACAATGTCATGCTGAATATCAAAATATAGTCTGAAGTATCATGAAATTTAACCTACATCATATATATATTTCAGCATTTGCTAAAAAACAAAATTTATTATTTTAGTACTATAAAATTAAAAAAAAATATGCACTCTTGTATATAAATATAAATATATATATGTGTGTGTGTGTGTATGTATATAATATATATAAATAAAATAAAGTAATATTTTTTATAAATTCTATAGCAATGGCAAAAATTATTCAAGTTACTAGTCATATATGCATGTGTAAGTGATGTGTACATGTGTGATATGTATATGTAAGATTTGATTTGTTTTGTACTACATTTGTACACACTGCACTTTTTTTTACATTG